TTAATAAAGGAATGATACAATTTATTTCAGGGTTATCGTATGACTAGATTCTTTCTCGGCGTCTCTTTTTAAGATTATTGATGGGAGATTTGACAAAGCTATGTAAATTACATAATTATAAAACTTTGACAGCCTAAGAGATGTTCTTCCTGTCATGCTTGGCGGGGGGGAGGGCGAATAACTTAAGACATAATTAGGATATTAGCGTAACGTATAAATATATAGAGTAATTCCCTTATGCTTTACTTAACGCTGGCTGAAAACATCAATACAAAAATCTGCCTTTAATATTCAATAAAAAAAAATTAATTAACAGATTAAAAGATTGACAAAGAGAATCTCTTCAGTTAATTATCGATAAACAAAAGTCCCATAGATACGGTCCCTGACTTCATTTCGCGATAATATACAAAGGATTAGCTATACCTTGTCCCATGACGATTGCGTTTCATTGAATAACAACATATATTCCCATCGACAGATGGAGTTAGTATACACCTAAACAAAAGGTACCGTATTACTTACTTAACAACCCATTTCTTATATTTCGGTATTTCTTTAGCGTATAGCAGTTTCGTAGCAGGAGAATCTTTACCCAATTTTTGCTCACTCATTGAACAACTTTCCATAAACGTTTGAGCTACAACGCTTAGGCAAGAATCGGTAGTATTCGATTTGAAGACATCAAATATAAAATCAGGATTTTTGACGATCGTTACCCAAAATCTCAGTGGTAAACTATTACTTTTCCAGGTATGGACGACATCGGGATCTCTAATAGCATGTTGAATGGCTTGATCGTCGAGAAAATCGAACATATATTTTATAGCCAAAGGCATTACTTCTCCTCTATGAGAGGTTGAGAACAATGCCTCAAATAAATCGTCCATGTACTGTTGTAGAGTTTTCTTTGTGGCTAAAAGTCTTGTTAAGTAGACTTCTGAAACCATTTTGCCTTTATCGGCTTGTAATCTCGCGCGTCCAGTGCCATTCGGATGGACAAGATGATAAGTTTTATTATGGCTTGGATGTTCCAATGTATCTGTGGGTGATAATGAACGGGCAAAAGACGGCGACGATGAGATAACCTCTGGAAAATGAAGAGAGAAGAACTCTTAATAAATTATAGACGATTCCATTAAGATTTTTTAGTCTTTATCTGGATAAACGAATAAGAAAACAAGAGGATAAACTTACCGTAAGTTCTATGAGAAGAACCTGATTTATCGGACGTTTGAGATAGATTATATGTAGAAGATTGTTTAGGCATTAGAGCCATTACAGCACCATCGTTTACCTTTTCGTGGACGTAAAAGCAATAAACAACCAATCCGGGCACAAATGTAAAAGAATTCAATCCAACCGACTTACCTGATAATGAGCCAGCGTATTTAATTTCCTATAGCCGCCATCCAATAAGGAAGATTTATCTTCATCCGCCAACAATAGTCTACCGTGAATTCCAGTTCTCCACTCTGATTTCGGCATATTTGGGTCAATACTGAGCATTACTGCAATGACACAAAGACAGTGAAGTGGCGTTATTTCGTTTTTTTTTTCGTCTTGATAATTGAAAACACGAAAAAAAAACAAAGAAAAAGAACAAAAACTCTGTTCATTTTTGTTTTTAATTTATATTGTAATTTTTTTTTCATATCTACTTTACATATTAAAAATAAAACCATTGTAGTTTTTTTTTTTAATAAAAAATTAATTAATAAATTAATTAATTAGTTAAAATAATACCAAAAAAGAAATATTCATTTTATATAGTTAAAATGAAAAAGGAAAGAAAGGGATTTCCAAAGAGGTTGACAAGGAGAAATATTCCATTATTTTTTAATATTAAAAGGGTAAAAAAAAAAACAAAAATAATAAAAAAAGGTGTAAAACAAATATTATAAGAAATCTATAAATTGTTTTGTATAGAAGTCTTTTTATTATTGTTATTATGATTGTTTTTCTTTTCTTCTTTGTCTCTTTTTTTTCCCTCTCTCTTTCTCTCTCTCTCTCTCTCTCTCTCTCTCTATTCGTGATAAAATCGCGTTAAATATATCAAAAAATAAATTAACGAATTTCGATAGGGCCACCACAGTCTTTGTATCGGATTTTTATCTATTCTATTTGCATTCTAAAATTTAGCGGAAATAAGCGAAAATCTAAGTTTGTTGTATATAAATATATATATATATATATACACTGTATATATAGTATATATATATATATATATATAGTTCCTTTAACAGTTAAGAGTTTATTATATCTATAGCTTGTCTTGAAAAAAAAAAACATGTGCATAAAATACCAAGTGTTCAGATAATTTCTAATAATTGATTAAAAGATATGTATATATTTATATATACTCTGTATATACAATATTTACCATTTCATTTTTTGTTCATATTAAATAATATAGATTTATAGGGAAAAAACTTCCAACTTTTAGTTTGCTTTAATTTGTTTTTACTTCCTTTATCAAATAAAAAAAAGGTGGCAAAATTTTGGAAATAAAAATAAAACTACGTAGACGTAAAAAGGTCAATTCGATAAGAAAAATACTGTTTAACGAAATACGAAAGTCAGTGGTATTTTTTTTTTCATTACTTTGGCAAACGAGAAAAAAAAAATAAGCAAACGATAAGGAAGTCTTACTAGTTTTTAAGTTATATTTAATATGATCAATTAGAATATATATATATATATATATACTGTATATATACTGTATATAGCTTATAGAATCTATTTAATAACTATATGAAAAATAGATTATTAATCTAGCAAGTTAATAATTAAATCCGTGTTATAAATGAAAAGCGGATTAGCCAGACAAAACAAAGCGTTAGTAAGTGAAACATTAAAATATAAATACCTAAATCCAATTCATTAGGTTTTGGTCTGTCCGAGTATGGTGTGTTCTTGTATATTGAATCCAAGATTTTCGCCTTTGTTTGCGATATTGTATCACAGTCCAAAACTTTGACTTGTAGATGATTGCATCCTGGAACGGGGGCTTCTGCTTCCAGAACAAATATAGTCTATACAGAGAAAATAACAAAGAAAATCGTTAAATATGCGATATTAGATAATTTAACGAAATGACTTTAAATAAATATGGAAAGAAACGAGGAGTGGCGTGACCAGAATATTTTAAGAAGTCTTACCAAGCTTTTGAAATCAACGCTTTGCCTTAATAATTTATCGTCGCTTAATGAATATCTTGCTTCGCTCGTGACGGCGTCTACGGGACCCTTCTCTATTCTCCATTTTATTGCTTTGAACAGGAGGAAAAGCGGTTCCCCAACAACTTCTTTTAAATGCTTGTATAATAAGAATGTAAACCAGTTAACGAGCAGTTTTTCGGCAACGGATTCAGTTCTGCAGTATATATATATAAATATATATATATCTATACTTGTACATATACTGTATATCATTCTAGAAAACGGCTATAACAAACCTTCGTAATAGTAGTTTTGCATGATTTCTTGGATCACTCAGAGTTCTCTCAATTAAATCACTTAGCAGAGTTTTAACAATACTGAAAAAGAGAAGAAAATATAAGAATTTGCGAGAGAGGAGAGTTAAAAACTCATAAATTACATATTAAATGTATATAAGAGCTGAAAGGGAAAAGGGGCGTGTGCTACTTGAAAATATATTAAGGCAATTTATCATGAAAATTAAAAAGGAAAAAAATATGATGTGCATGCGTAAATGTTGGAGAGATTGATGAGATAATTCTTCTACTCATGATTTCCTTATAGATTTTCATATCGTTTCATTGTTATTACTATTATTATTGTTGTTATTGTTTTATATATAATTTATACGTGTAAAACTTATAGAAATTTTAGTAACACCATTTACTACTGTATTGATTTAAACGGACTCTATAACTAATTTTGCAGATGATTTAAATAGATTTAATTACAAAACTATCCTTGCTGGGATATAATTATGCCGCTTTAGATAGCCAAGCATCCTTGAAGTAATAATCATATCACTCTCTATTTTAGTTCTACTTTTAAATAGTTGTAGAGTGCTCGAGGTAGCATAACTACTAACGTTTAATAAACAAAGTTTAATAGAAATTTCTCTCAGGGGGAGTAACATAAGGGGTGGAAAATCCCTGTGAAGTAATAGCACTAGCTCAATAGCTCAAAGCCAACTAATAAAAAAGGCTTAAGAATTTTTTCTTCCCTCTTTTATAACCCTCTTTTCGTTAGACCCATCTGATTATGTAACCTGTTTTTTATTACTCGGAACACCAGCTAGGAAAATAATACTTACTCGGTGTAATAAACCATTTTCGATTGTAGTACTATCGATAGAAGAGAAGCAACTTTAACCCTTTCTCTGACTGTAAACGATTGTTGAGCTTCCAAAGTACGGATAAACGTTAAAAGAAACGTCTTGTTACGTAGTAGAGATTCAAATCTTTTAAGAACGCCAGCCAATATAAAATATTGTTCTCTTGGAAGCTAAAAAGGATAGAAAAAGAATCGTTAGCAAAGATCTCGGAAAAAGGTTTACATTAGACGACTAGGAAGTTAACGAGAAAATATCTCATTATATAGTCAATTTTCTTGTACTAACATCTATTGCCACATTGTTGAAAGACCTCGGTTCGCCATTAGGAAAGAGCATCTTCATACAAAAAGAGTGATAGGTCCGTAACGGCATTTGAGAATAGCTGTGATCCGGAACCAGTTGGGGTAGTTCCGTTTGTAATTCAGCGAAAGCTATTAAAATAAATACGAAAATAGCTTGTTATTTGGTACTTAATTTAGCATTCTATCATAATACATCATTTATTATTAAACCATCCTACTATTAACAATATAATACTGTATAGTAAAGGGAAATTAACCTTCTTTACATTCCATAGCCACTCTGGCTTCCAAATGGTCCATTTGCATTTGAATTTTCCTTACAGCCCTGCTCTTCTCCGCTTTTGTTCTCAGGTAAAAGAAGATGATAAAGCAAAAGATGAATAAAACGAACAAACATGCTAGAGCAATTCCCACGATAGCTGGTAGCGATAAGATAAAACCCTGCTCATAGGGTTTATATAATAAGTAACCTATTTCGGTTCTATTTGCTTGATAATTCTTGAGATGAACCTAGAATAAGAAACAGAATATAAATAAAAAAGTTAATACATTCAATGAAATTATCTATTTACATAAATGATTAAAATATATAAGAGAGTAAATATTCCCCCCAACCTTTATGGATAAGAAAATGTTAATATCATTGATAAAGAGAAGTAAAGGAAATATAAAAAAGTGAGAGAGAGAGAGAGAGGAAAGATGTATAAGCAATAAAAGAAAAGAGGGGTAAAAGAAAAGAGGGGTAAAAAAAAGGAGCGTGCGAGAAAAACAAAACAGATATGAATCAATCGTAGTGACTGGTCTGCATCGCCTGTGCTGAGGATATGACTAATAATTGCGTGCTGCAGTTGGCGAACTGCAAAGATTTCGATCGGCTGATTGATGTTGCCTACCCTGGGGCTGCAGCGCTTTGTTCAGACGGGGTATAATAATCGCCCGCGACGATTCGCAAACGTCGGAACGAGTACGTAATAAACACGTACGAATTTGACGCTTCGTCATAGAAATAAAAAGAGTTTTGGGGTGGAAACCTTGCAGGGGGTAGACACGCAAATCGACGTCACCTAATCGTTCTCGCCACGGGCTTCTATCGACAAACGGTAGTTAAGACCAATTAGTCGTGTTTTAACAAGAATTAAATGTATGAGAGAGCTATTCATTTTATATATACCTATTAATTTTTATTCTTATTAATCTTCTCATTTACCCCCTATAGAAATGACTTGTTTGATAATTAACCCATTTTAACGATTTACATTAAAAGTAAAAGAGTAAAAGGAACTGAAAAAGGTGAGAGTTGGAAAGGCAAAAGGAGGGGAGAAAGAGAGAGAGGGAGAGAGAGAAAGAGGTCGAAAACTGGCTGTTTCATATGACTTTATATGGTAAAGGCATGACAATTATTTTCTCATTTATCAGGTTATAGATTAAGATGAGAATCAACCTCTTTAAGCGTGTGATTCTTTTACTCATTAATCTTATTAGTAGGGTACAAGCGTTGCCTTATTTCATATGCATAATACGAACAGAAAGTTATCATAATATACTTACAGTTACCAGAAGTTTCGGGTGCCTGGAGCTTGGTATACGATTTAGAATGCACTCTATACGCTTACTACTAATTTTTGTAATTGTACAGTTGGTTTCGCCAACCAGTACTTCGTAGTTGGATTGATCTAGTACCAAGTTGATTCGTTCTCCCTATAAAATAAATTGATTTGATTTAAGAGTTCGGATTTCTTACCACAGTATTTAATTTCAGTTAAGAGAGAAATAACGAAAAATATACTGTTATTACTATTAGTATTACTCTATAAAGTAATAATAATGATAATAATTAAATAAAACTTTTATTAACCTCGATCGCTAATTCTTTTTTACCATCGTAGACCTTCTCAAAATTCTCAAATAGATCGAATGTTGGATCTTCGTAGACTAAAAATTTCGAATTGTCGTATTTTGTCAGATTCTCAACGGATTTCACATTTGCCAACTTAAAACCATAGGCTAGCTCTTCGACGTGCTACGTAAACACAATGAATCGATATAAATCTACTATTTTTTTTAATATTCCCTTTTTGGGTTAGGGATACATAGGGAAAACATCACGTGACATTATTCCAATTTCCTCTCAACTCCTTCCTTACTTGTCTGCTTAAAACGACAATTTATGAGTGAAGACGCTTTCGATTATTCATAAAATGTTATACTAGCCACATGTCATATAAATGATATGAAAATGACATAAAAAGAAGAGGAAATCTCAGATAAAGATAGTATTTGGATGTTTAAAAACTAATATATATATATGGAAACAGTCTGTCTCCTACATTAATCTATAAATAGTTAGGGAAAAGGTCACGTGATATTTTCTATAAAAATGCCTCAATATTGGTAAATACCATATAATTTATTTTTCGCATATGACTTCGTAAAGCCACTACAGAGGGAATGATGCATGTCATCGCCGTTTGATTCTTCTTTGGACAGGGCTGAAAGAAAAAAAAAATATTTGAAATAGTTAGAAAATCGAATAAAAGAGAGAGAGAGGGAAAGATAAGGCGACAACATAGTCAAAGATAAAATAGATGGAAAATGTTGCCTAATTATATTTTTAAGTAAAGTATGGTTGAAATACTTATAACTTACAGCTTGTACTTTATAGCCATGAAGCATCATGATGAAGTGTGGATTTTGTATAATATCAAAATTGCTCCCAATCACATTAATGTTGAAGCCGCCACTGTTAATTTAAACGTAAAAATGAGATCTTTCTTCGAAAAGATGCGTGTAAAATATTATCTATAACAATTATCGTAATATATACCTCATTATTGTCTTTGTTGGGTATACTCGAGTGACAGTAGGGTCCTCTACGTATTTAAACTCGAAATCTTCGCTAAAGCTTAAATCCCATGATACGATTATTCGTTGCGGATATCCTTCAGTTGGTATTGTTCCATTGAATGAGCTAGATGCAGTTTTGATGACCATTTCCGTTGAGGTACTCCTTAAATTATATTAAGAGAAAAAAATAAGATGTTAGCATTTTCACAGTCAAATCTCTTTAGACTCGGATAAGAAGATAATATGAAATTTCCGACACTTTTCATTAGTAAATGCATTAGAAATTAAACAGTGCGAATGTATAGTTTTTCTTTTATCCTGGTAACACGCTAACGCCCCTCTCTCATTCGCTCTATCTTAACCCTTCTAGAGTCTTATCCAACTCCCCTAATCCCTGTCTATTTTGTCCCGCTTTCCCCCCGCTCGGATCTTTACATTAAAAAAAAAAGCTTTCCCTTGAAATTTCCTTCAATTTCTCTCTTCACTGCAATCTAATACAATCTTAACAAAATAAAGAAAGAGAAATAAAGCCTATAAATCTAATATACTAGCTTAATTTACATAAAAACGTTTAGGATTGTAGGTTCTTTTAAGAGAATTAAGTAAAAACACGTAAACAAATGAACAAATATTCGTTTGATCCTTACCTGATTATTTCGCAAAGACGATCACCAATTTTCACAGTCTTCTTTGTTCCGATATTTAAGTATTCTCCAGAGATTTTTACTTTCGTACCACCTGAGCGAGGCCCAATCGATGGTTCCACTTTATTCACAGTAGGTGTCTAGGAAAAAAACACAGTTAGTAACTAATAAAGTAGTCAATATCTTAACACCTAATTTTTTTCACACCAACCAACCTATCTACCCACCCACTACCCTCCTACCTACCGCCCTTTTCTCTTTCCACTTTTAATTTTTTTTTCATTTCCCTTTCACCTCTGTTATTTACAAGAGTGTAAAAAAGGAGCTAATACTTACCACGTACGTGAAGGGATTTTTTGATTTTGCCTTGTATTTTCCGGCTACTTTTACCAATACTGGTCCACTTTCGTTATCCTTAACTGAAGGAGCATTTTTACAAGTAATCGTACTGGGTCTTTTGTAATCGATCACATTGCATCTTTTACCAGCAACGAACACTTCTATTTCATCAATGCTTTTACCCAAATTCATACCAGTTATAACAATACTGGTATCTCCTCCAAACGGGCCGTATTTTGGCTCAAAGTCTAATATCTATAAAAGAGATGAATAAAATTATTAATAGTCTATAAGTATATAAATAGAAATTAAGATAGACGTTGGAAAGAAAATCAGAAGGAGATAAATAGAAAATGAAAAGGAAGACGGATAGTATAGGGGAAAAATATTGAGTAAAGCGGTAGGATAATCTTTAGCGAAGGTTAATACTTTACGAAATAGGATACTATCTAGTGACAATCGAATATATCAAATTTTTTTATATTTACCTTAGGATTGTCGCAAGTTTGTTCGCTGTTTAAAAACTCTCCTCTCCCTTCTGAACATTTTGTTTTAGTTGAACAACGTTTCTCTCTTACGCACCAACCACATAATTTGTTTTGTAAAGATAGAGCGAGACATTCACCACAATTTACCGACAATGAACATTTGTATATTGTTACTGTAGGAGAAAAGGAGCAAGTTGAAAAATTTATTTATTTAAAATACGATAGAAATTTATTGACTTGATGAATGAAAACAATTTCATATATAGGAGCTTAATAACTCAAAGATAAGAATCTTTGTATGCTAACCTTGTATATTTTGTGGATTGTCGATAGGATATTTATCCCTTCCCCAAACAATTTTGAAAGGAATGTGCATTTCGGCTACGACTTCTTTATACGAGAACTAATAAATAGGAGAAAGAGATATTATAGGTAAAAAGATAAAAGAAACTATATAACTATGAAAGTTTGTCTATATATAAACTGTAAAAGCGAAAAGTAGAGCATCACGCAACTTGTTCTAATCTTTAAGCTATGTATTCATATTTCAAGAGACTGCAAAGCTGTATTCTTTTTAATATACACTTGTTTATATTACATTCTTTTAAGATGATTGCTATTGATTTTTGTCTTTGTATTTTTTGTATTTTTGTTAGAATTTATCAATTTCTTTCTACTTAACTTAGTAAATAGTTATTTACGAAGAGATAAGTCAACCGAACACAATCGCCAAAGCGTTACCTAATCTCTTGCGTAACAGACATTAAAACTACTATAAACAGTAAATCTTCTTAGAATTTTTAAGTACAATCTACGTTTGATACATGAGTATTTTTATATACTGTAAATACATGGTATATATAGATATATTAAATGTGCAATACATACTCTTTTGGTATCGCATTCGATTTTATTGCCTTTTCTACGAGCTTTTAAATACTCATTTCTCCCTTCTTCCATAAAAACACAACGCAAATCCGTTTGAAAATCCTAAGTAGAAGGTTTTAGTAGGGGTAAAATAAAAAAATTAATAATAAATCATCGTTTTAGATATTTGTATTTAATTTTATTTATAGAACTTACCAATAATTTATTTGCTTCAACTTCAATTCTGATTTGTTGGGTAGACGCTATCATTATATTACCATTTGTTAATGAGCCTGTATATTTAAAACTCGGACAATTTGCTGGTCCTTCTCTATCGGAGTTGGGTATCTAAAGATTATAATTGGAGAAAAAAGAGGAAAAAGAAAACATTAAAATTGTAGACTTTAAAAGCTATATTTAAAATATGAAAGGGCTTTAAATATCAATGATAATAAATAATTGTATGGTTTCTTACCGCTTTTCCAGTAACAAGAACAGCATTTCTACCACAAATTTCACTTCTGCCAGTACAAGTATGCTGTTTAACGCACCAAGTACACGGATGGCTACTAGTGGTACATTGAGTGCATCTGTTTACAGAAGGAGAATGTAAGAAGTGGAATTGATCAAGAAAGAAAACTAAAAAACATTTTCTATTCCTAATCCCTTAGGGAAGGTAAATCCTAGGGCAATTTCTAGAATTTCCTTTATCGGAAGGAGTCGCTAATTTTATCATAAATCTAACTTCCCGCCGAAAATAAGACTACTACATAATCTAAGATAAATCTTTAAAGAACAAAGATAGAAAGTGAAAGGAAGAGGATATTTCATTAAATAAAACTATAAAACTAAACTTCCTCTAACTTTCCTCTTTTACAATAAAAGACAAGAATAAAGAAATTCAACTACTTATTTAAAAGATAAATTAAATTAGACTACTCACGAATTATGTACAGAACAATCGTAGAAAGTAAAATTCGTAGACACGAAATCCTTCTCCTGTAATCGAATTGACAATCGAACGACTACGCTGTCTGTTAGGGTAAAAAATATATATTTATAAATATATATATATATATATACAATATATTATATAAAAAAAGTCATCGGCACAAGAAATTACTAGAAACGTCATATATTATAGATAAAACAATCGACTAGACGCTCATGACATTTTCGCATTTATACCAATACTGGGCGGTGAACGAAATGAATGGGACAGTCACGTAAAAGCTAAATTACCATATAAATTCACTATAATAACCCGATACTCTCCTCTTACTATATATACTTATAGTAATGTTTTTTCTCATTTAAAAAAACATGTACCTTATGTATCGATATAATAAGCTTACGTATAGTACACAGTGTACTGTACATTAGGCATATATATATATATATCTATTTATGCAATCTATGATGTATAAATTTATATAAATTTCCTTTTAATTGTAAATAATTAAAAGATAAAACTGATGAGTTTTAATAATTTTTCTTTTAGATCTAAACCGCTAACCTCTCAGGTAAGAAAAATTTTATCTCTGATATTGGGTTATTATGTTATTATATTTCATAGAAAAGGTATTTATAAACAAAAAAAGAATGGTGCGTATGTGCATGTGTATGTGTCTGGGAAGGAAAGGGAGAAATGAAGAAAGAAAATAGTGAAGATTAGAAACAGCAAGAGAAGGGAATAAGGAAGGAGTAATATTTAAAATTGTTATTAAATAATGATAGAATGGGGGGAAAAAATAAATAAAATACAAACAAACACAAATTAATGGATGACTTATTGAGAATTTGCTTAATTTAAATAAATATTTAAATACGTTTCTACTCCTTGTAAAATGTTATTTACTTATTCGCTAGATAAACAAATTATTACTTCTATGTAAATAGTACTAATTCATATAATTAGTTGAAAGTAAACACTAAATGTAAACAAATATATATATATGCATATATATATTTGTTTACATATAATGTTTACTAATATACACTAATATATGCACATAAAATAGTTTACATGCTATTTGCAGAACCTATACTTCTTTGTTTATAAGCATACATTGGTTCTTTAAGGCAATATTCGTAAGCACTTGATTGCTATGGCTCTTGAGCTTTCTAAGTAGACAGCTGAATCGAGATTTAGTGGATATACTCTGCTTTTTTTTCCCTATTTTCCTTCTATTTGTTCCCCTTCCATTTCAGTGAATATAAACAAAAGTAATAAAGAAAGAAAAGAAAGAAAAGAAATAGAGGAAAGATATAGTATACACATACAAATAGGTATAATAAGCGTCTATTTTGTGATAGTATATACGATACACGTACATACAAACAACGTGCACACCTACGTACATTAACTATCCATTTTTAACATAATACCATTTCCTAATCGTCAATCGTTAAAAACTATGTATTACCGGTGTTACGTAATTAACTATAGTTGTTATGTAACTAAAAGCGTTAACATTTTTAGTGAAATAAATTTTCCATTTTACTATAATAAGTTATTCTTCCGTTCTATTTGGCAATTTAGAGTATTTAGCAAGTAATTGAGATAAATCAATTCTATAAAGGTACCCAGTTTAGTTTACTTGATATATTAGTATATTCTTTCCCTTATTAACGAATATGGACATTTTTAGTTACTTTATATCCAAGCTGTGACAAAAAATTAGCTTATTTAAACCACCAAACTCAACATTATCTCTCGTCCGGCACGTGTTCGTTTCTTAAGGTAATGAAGCCTTCGAGTCAGATTAAGAGTAATGACCGTAATTATGGATGCCACCTAAGTTGCTCCATTCGCCTAAGCTGGGATGGCTTTAAACCGGATAGACAGAAAAATTGGAGTTGAACTTGAAGAACAATGTTAGTATGACACACGTCCCCCTGGTTGCGTAATAGAATTAAGCGGAACAAAAGTGGGAAGCTGACATCCCGTAAGAAAGGAATTACGTCACATTCCTCTCTTTCAGCTTTGATGTCTTTGCACGCAACTAATCGGGCACCTGCCGAGTCTGGTAAAGCCCGCCGTTGATTGAACAAACTTAATGAATTTATAGGGAAATCGAAGGGGAGTATAGACGCTCTTGTAAGGGGCGTCATAGGGCCGACAAACTGTCACAATTTTTCGTACAATACGGGCAAATTTTGGGCATAAAGCGGTCGTCACGTTTATTGTTAAGAGAGATGACGCGCTTAGAATTTCCGACATCATGCCGAGATGGTGAATATGGCGTTTTTAACGACGCCCATGTCGAGAAAAATATTCTTTTATTCTCTTACCAACTTTCTTACAAACTATTTAAATTGACCATGATTGTTAGCATAATGAGAAGAAGATACAACCATAAAGTATAAAGAGGCGTTACTCTAATAATCTAAGTTTTATTATACATCAGATACGATTTCTGCGACGCGTTGAAGCCGAGTTCAAATGTTAGTATGTTAGCACAAGAACACGTAATCAAAGAGGATATGATTAAAAGCGCACGCACACGCCGACAAGCTTTCATTATCCTCGTCTGCGTAGGAATGAAAATTGACGTTTCCAGAAGCGTAGACGGAACACATGAGAAAACAAGGGCCATGTCAAATTCTATGAAAATATTTCGCGTATTACCTAGGTAATAGAACTAGTCACACGCAAACACGCCAACACGCCAAGTCCATCCATTTAAACGCATAGTACCATATACAGCAGCGTATTGTATTATATATCGACCATGTGTACATTTACATAAAACATTGCAAATTTAACTATATTTATTTTTACTACAAACGCTAAACTTTAATCAATAACCTTTAACCTTTGTAAAATATTTTACATTATCGCAATTTAAAAATCTTTATTTAAAACTATTTGAATAATGGAAGGGAATAAAAAAAAAGCAAATTTGACCTAGATACTAGATAACTTTCTTTTGAATTTTGACCAAATTGACACTTTTCAACTTTTCCAACAAACCCCCTTAGAGATTGTTATGGAAAAAGAACTATTAAAAAGTTGTAAACTACTAAAGGGAATAAAGAAAACAACCCCGCAGGCAATTTTACCTTTTTTTTCTTTTAAATTGAGATAAAGGCTTCGCAGCTTGTATAAGTTTATCTAAACGGTCAAAAGCAATTCCCGTTGGAAATAATAGTTTTATATTAAAATATATCTATTACATTAATATAAGCTGTTCATATGTAATTTACTATTCATATACTGTAATTTTTTTTCAGTTCTTTCATTTCTTTTATTCTTTTCTCTTTTACTCTTTTTTTCCAGTATGTATGTGTTTTTTTTTTTGCTTTATTGCTCTTTTCTGTCCTTTTATTGCTTTTTATCCATTTATTTAAATATTTCAAGTTAAAAGGCTAAAAGTTCACTATAGTTTCATTCTTCAATTATAAAGTTTACTAAGAACTCGTTTCATTAAATAAATAATAATTCTAATAATAATAGAGGCGGTAAAAACGATGCTTTCTTGAACAGTTCAGGTTGAATTATTAATGGTGGATAGCATATGCGGTTAAATTTCCAATATGTTCAGACAAGCATGAATGGGCTTTTGACTGTACCTTTTAATAAAACTATGTAGAAATTACAGTGTTTGACAAGGACATTTAAATTATATTAAAATTAAAAGTAATACAACTTCTTTCCTTCTCATTTATCAAACAATAAAACTACTTATTAAAATTTACAACAAACTCTATATTAACATGTATAAGCCTTTATATATCATTTTAAGTATTTTTAAATTATCTATACTCGATCATCCCAATGCGTAAAGTTCAGTATTTTAAGGTAAACATAGCCGGTGACCCTAAAAATCTCAAGGGTACTTTAATCAATCATCTTGAAAAAAGTTCAACAAATAGTAGAATATAAAAAATTTATAAATCTCTAAATTAGCCGTAGTACTAAGAGTAGCAGGGAAAATAATATATTTCATTATTGGAAGTTAATTTTTTGAGACGTTTTAAAATAAGAAAGAAAAAAAATATATCAAGTCCTTTCCTCTCCTTTTTCCTAACTAAACTCAATTATTGTCAAAATAAAAAAAGAACGAAATAAAATATATATTCTTCATCAACAGTTCAAAACCTTACTGCTCTTAGCCCTTAACCTCTCAGTGGCACAATTTTAAAGGTTCGTTTTGAATTTCTATTGACAAGTTTCAAAGGTAATTTTACTTTCCCCTCCCTCGTACTTGCCCTCTGCATACGCTTAGTAAAGTTGGGCGAACAAAAGTGACACACGTATAGCAGATTTATAAAATACTCCTTAGGGATAATATTACGAACCAAGAGCAATTTTTTTTGGGGAAGGAAGATGAATGTATAGGAAGCATTGAAAAGTTGTACCAGGTGTCCATATTATATAATCCCATTTTTGCATTGTCAATCTGCTCTCTTAACATAAAAGCGTCAGTTTATGATAAAAACATGATATGTATATAACACTCTTACTATGAAGAGAGGGAGGGAGAGAGTAATAGCTGGATAGATTGATACGGATAAATATTAAGTACAGATAGTATACAAATATCTATATATTTATCTCCCTAGCTATCAGTATATAAAAGAGAGAGTAAGAGCGAGGGGGAGCGAACGGAATAAGTCCAAAACCAATAAAAAAGCGTGCGTTCCATAATTTCATTTCTTTTTTATCATCTGCCGTACGGCAAACAAGCATCGAACGAAACTTTTTCAATGCAGTCACGCATGACTAAACGAAATGGGAACGGTGCAGTCGAGCATAGCTAAAGCCTCGATCAACTGTACACGCGCTCGAAAAAAAAAATTCTCTATTCAATCCTCTCTGGCTCTCTCATGCACACTCTCCATCCATTTTGACATTCCTGGCCAACCGAAAATTTTATTTACCTAATTGATTTTTATTGTCTAGAACAGTGGGGGTTCTTTTTTTTTTTGCTTTTACTGATTTATTATCGGTAAATTTTCGAGACGGTCAAGAGGCAATATCTCTCTTACATCTAAGCTCTCATTTATCATATTTATATAGTTATGTCTAAAGCAAGTTAAGCTTATAGAAAATTGTTTGAATCGAAAATAAAATAAAGCTTTTTTTTTCTATTACGGCTGAGAAAGACGAATTAGAAAAAAGAAGAAAAAAGCTATTATATTAAAACGTAAAGCTTTAATTTAGATTTTGTTAATCCCTATAAAAATTGAAAGATATAGTTAAACAATCCTATTAATTTTGTCACTATATTGTATGGAAGAATTCTAGATATATAGATTTTGGGTAGTATTCTTTCAGACTGGCTTAGTAATCACGTTTGTCATATTTGATATATAATTCAACAAGCTTAATAACAACATAGAATGTCGTTCTAAACTCTTATTTCTATTAAAACATGGAAAATAACGTATATTAAAATATAAGTACTATTTACTTTTGTATAAAACATGTCCATATAAATATATAATGTACTGCAACATACTCTATATACTTTACATGTTTATATATATTATGTATTTTCTTTGCATGTACTTTAGTCTTTGTATAATGATTCTGTTACCTAAATTAGTAATTTGCTAGTAAGCTTCCTAAAATTAAATGGAAACTGATAAAGAAAGCACGAAACGGAAATAGTAAACAAATATCACGTGATAAATCTTATCACATGACTCGAGATTTCTTATAGGTAAGTTGAATAGTTCGGCTTGCTATATATCGAATTAGAAACGGGAAAAGAAAAACAATTGTGGGTAGCATACGTCTGGAGTCATGTGACTTTGATAAAACATCTCAATACTACAAAAAGCTGCACTAACTCGATATTTCCAGACTGTCACATCCACTCAACTTTGTCGTTCTCTTATTACGTAAAATGAGAATAAACGGGGCGAATTACAGAAGCCCTATACAGTAAATAGATGCGGCACTTAACCTGAGTCGTTAGCCTTTGACAGAGTGAGATGGAAACTGTCGAGACTACGAAAAAGTATAATAGTGAATAATAACTTGAATAAATAAACTAGACAAATGGTTGAAAGGGAACAAAGGTACTGAAGTAAAAGAAATGGCTAAAATAGAAGAAAGACAAAAGCGAAAGTATGAAAAAGAAAAATTAAGGAAAAGTGAGAAATATTGTTAACCGGGGAGAAAACATTCGAGCCTTAAGGCTTACTGTAACAGTAAGAAAAGACGAGTATATAAATAATGCTATAGGGGTCGAAATCGAAAAGTAAATTGCTTATCTCGAGTTACAAGCATTCATTTCGTTCAGTTCGAATCTAGTAAAATGGAAATTGAGTAGGAAGACAGTGACATGGAAGACAAGTAAATAAAGACTAGACGTCGTAGCAGTGGATAAAAAAATGAAAAGATACTAACCAGATCCGGTCGGGAAGTCGGGCATTAAATTCGGTTCTGGTGTAAGGCAAGAGACGCTTTTACCATTCTTTTCTGCTACTGTTTGTCTGGATGGAGATTTAGGATCGGATGCATCTCTAAATACACATTTATAAGTTTCATTTCTAACATTCGGTAGATTTTCAACTTCCAATTTAATCTGTTAGGAAAAATATAATAATATAGATAGATCTATTGATAATAAATCTAAAAACAATTATTATATAATAATTATATAGATAATTGCATTATCCAGTACTCTATTTCTATTATATTTCCATAATACGTATATAAACAAATATAAAGTATGTAAATTAAAATAGCACCAGAAGTGCACTACACTAATTGAACCCTGTTTCGACAGTAAAAATTTATATTCGTTTTAAATCATGCTTGTCAAATTAGATGGATTTTCATTTATTTTCTTTTTTAAACGTAATTATATATCCATATCTATATCTAATATAGATATATAAATTTATATATATATAATTACTTCTTAGATGTATTTTTCTATATGAAAGAAATTAAATAAGATAATTATTTCAAGATAATCCTTCTCCTTACGATTAAATATGTAATTCTATCACAAGAGAAAGTATAAGGGGAAAAAGAAAAACAAACTAGAAAACTTCTTAAGCGGATTTTTCCGGAAAGGAAGAAACTATTTCAAAGGATTCTCTTAAATATTGCAGTAAGATAGAGTTAATGTTAGATTCGTTCCTAGTTCATTTAAAACCGTAGAAGAGCAACTTTTATTTAAAAAAGAGAGGAAATTTATCCGAGTTTCTATTTCTTTATTTTCTCTTTTTTGAATAAAATCGTATATATTCGCTCTGCCTAATTAAACATTTTCTAGGTCTTCTTTTAGGAAATAACGTTTGCTTTTTTTTTCAGTAGGCTTTTTAGCTTTAGTTATAATGTTTAGTTGTTTAACTTACCTTTACACTTTGACCCTTCTGGATTTTTGATGGTAGCATACTAATAATTTTCGAACATCTTGCATCACCGTGAGAGCTTAACCATCTTGTTTCATCATCATTGTTTAAGCATTTTGATCTAACAGAACATTTGTTTTCTAATGAACACCAGCCGCAAAAAGGATCGTTCGATTCCAAACAAGTTTGACAGCTGTCGTATTGTGAGCACTTTTGCGTTTCAATTTTGAACATCTGTATAAGAAATAAGACAAGATAAGGAAATTGAACATGATTAATTATTTAAAAATTGGCACTTGTAGGAACAAAAAAAAAGGGGAACTTGCGTAATTTTAATAGATTATAGCAACGTATGTATGTGTATATTATAAAAATATCTCACTATAAATAAACTATTAGATGTTATAATGGAGAATGCGCAGAAAAGTTTATTAGAAACATTTCTTAGGAAAGTCCGAAGGCAACAGGTGGTTATGGAATTGCAAGATATATAGGTGCAGAAAAATAATTAATGGCATCGTATAGTGGACATAATATAGAAGCAATTCGCCCTCAGGAAGCATGTATAGCTATACAAACTGATGGAATAAAAATAAGATCGTATAGTTACAAAGGACGCTTATACAGTCAGCGTCGAATATATTTTCACATCGACAGAACCGGTTGGAATGACCTTTCACCTTGATTATCCGATAAAAGCTTAATATTACTTTTTTATTCGAATTATGTGATATCCAATTTCAAATCCTGTCGGTTTGAACCGAGAATAAGGAATTTGATTGACCAAGTGTCTACTACCGTAGTAAATGCAAATACTGTCAGTTTTAAGGAGGATGACGTGCATGACTATGAATGCTACTCAATTTTCTAACCTGTGGGAATGTTATAAGGGTAGAAGCGATGTAGTAATAACAGCTTCCTTTCCCTGTTCGCATGCCTAAACGAAACATATGCCGAAATACAACTCGTGCCAGTCTGAGTTAAAAACAGTACCAGGTTCTTTTCGGGTCTAACAATTGTTTAGTATGCAAACAAGATTTGTTTACCCTGGTCGGCGATCATGCCCCCTCGAATCGAACCCTAACAGTTTAATTAGTGAAAGGGAAAACTAGGTGAAAAAAGAAAACTAGCTTTTTCCCCTCACTTCTTTTAATTAACACTAACGGATCAAAACCGGAAATTTATCGTCGCAGGACTTAAGGAAAATGGTCGTTAAGTGATGAAAAAAAAAATAACTCTCAAATCGGCTTAGAGAGAATGACCTTTTTCCTCTAGCCGTTGATGAACATCGATCAATCCCTTTCACTCCCATTTTCTTTCTTTCATTCTCCCTCTTTCCCTTTCTCACTCACTCACTATGTCTTTCTTTCTTTCTTTTACCCCCATTCTATCAGAAACTTAACGATTAACGATCTCGAAACGAAAGACGTATATAGGAATTGTGTCAGAATTGTAAATTAGAGTAGGACCGGGAATTGTAACCTTAGATTGTCTAATAAAACATATTTGTGTATATTTTTACTCTACAATTTATGATGAATAGTGAACCGTTGTGGGACGAGTTCGCACTTGCCCTACCATTTCCCAACGGACATGTAGAGTACTCGGCGCCGAATTGCACATTTTAGGGCGCGCTAATCTACTTTCTGGCGCCTGGAGTAGGAGGGTAGAAACGCATAAAAGAGAAGGAGAAAAAATCGTCTTGGGAAGAGAAAAATGATTTAGGCAATCAAGCGAACTCCAATTGTACGTTGCTTATTCAGTTATATACTTTGTTACTCCAAATTATGGATGGAAGTTTAGCACGAGTGAAAGAAATTGATAAATTCCTATTTTTTTTAGAATGAAAGCAAAAAAAAATCTGGTTGTATACAGAAGAGATAACAAGTCGTACATCATCGATCAACAAACGCTGTTGGCGATGCATGAAACAAAACAACGACGGGGGGTGAAAAAAAGTAAGAAAAATATGAAGCTACCAAGAAAAATTATCGCTAACTGCGAAATAAGGAAGGCAAAGGGGAAACCGGCGGGTATCCATCACAACCGTTAGTCAGTTGACAGGAGGCAATTCGGTCGCTGTCAAAGGCCCCGAGGAAGGGACTGGACAATGAGTTATACATTTAGCGGGTGTGTAGCAACTGCTTTCGACTACAGACAAAAGAATGGAAAGCAAAAACAAATTACAAAACTGCAGGGGTAGAAAGATTGAAGGCTGCGCGTGCAAACGCTCGATATTCTACGAAGCGTACAAAAAAAGCCATCATGCGAACGTTTAGCCTTTGTAGGGACAGTATAGATAAAAATGGTCAATTGCATGCCTATAATACAAGCTATATGCTTGCTTTTACTTTTGACTATTATCAATAAAACAGAAAACCGGGTATGAGTTAGGGTGATATTCCCTTTTTTCTCTAAATTCTTTCTACCGGTCCTAATCTCTCCTAATCCCTAAAGGTAATAAAAGAATGGGATAGATTGACGGAGTAGGGGTAAAAAAAACAACGTCAAATGATTCGATAGCGTTGACTAACGTTCCCTGTTCGTGTCTAGGTTATACATTATAAATCAACATCAAAACGGATAACAGAAGCGTCGAAAGCAGTTTGCCGTCTCTCTTATATATACAAACTTAGAACAATGGAGTACAGTTACAAAGATGTTTTTACGCATATACCAAGCTCGCCTGCTAATGAATTAAGGATCGGCTGTCAGTCTGTATTAACTGGCTACCACTGAGTTCCTATGTATACAATATATACATGGTGTATATTTTATACGATCACATTGTGTGTATAGTATTAACAAATGATTAGTTTCATATTGGAAATTCCGAGTGCAGCATATTGGCAATCGCTAAAACAAATTCAAACACTTGAACAGCAATGAGATCAGGCAATTTTACTAGCAAGAAGCATCATTATCAAACCATTGAGATGTATTTTGAGCCGATAGGCAATTTTGTTGCGCAATTGCGGCTAGTTGAACCCTTGACCCCACTACTACTCTTTTTATTCCCTATGAAATTTACTAGGGAAAATTAGCGGTCTTTCCCTTGTATCGATTAGTTAATCACGGATAAACTGGAGTTAATACTATGCGACGTAGGGAGCAGGTACAAGCTGCATCGATTCATGTTCATCGACAGCAGTACACGTTAGACGCCTTTTTTTTGCACAAAGATCAATCTGAAACAAGAGACAATCGCCCGACGGGAGTTAAAACTCTCGTACATAAAAAAATTATAGTATACAAAGAGAGAATACATTTTTGTTAGCCAGCTAATGTTTGACATAGTTTTCACCTTTTAAATAACGATTATTTGTAGTTTGTTTTCCCCGTCTTTCTTGTCCCCTCTCAACGTTAAAACATAGAATGTAGGCGTGTTCAGCTGCTATAAATGTACTCAACAATAATAAGTTTGATTTTCTCTCTTTAAAGTTCAATTCATTATCTTTTCTATGATTAGACTTAGGATATAAAAGTAATAAGACGCATAAAGTAAATGTCATATAAAGACAAAAAACAAAGATGTTGCCATACAACTATTTTGTATCTATATTCGTTTAGACGTCTTCGCGAGTGGCCTCAAGTAACCACGGGCGCCTCTTAACGAAGTTACTTTCAGTTAGCTTTTTCTTAATCAATTAAGAAATAATTTAGAAAATTCTCTTTAAAAAAATCATTTTTCTTTTGATTATACAAAACTGAGAATCAATAGGTAAGGGAACAAATAGAAATTTAACTTTTCTATTTGAAATACTAAAAAACAAAAAGAAAAGAAACAGAATAGAAAAACAAAGCTTAAAAACAAAACAACAAAGAGAAATAGGAATAACAACAAATCGGCGGCGAATCTGTTTCGTTTGTATTTTTTTTTTATCCCTCTCTTGCCGTCGTCTAGTCTTTCCAACATCAATGGCAATTCGACGCGGAAATAGAGTTGCCTAGCCGGCGGCGCAGCTCTGTTCAAGTGTGTATAAAGGTGGCAGTGTCGCTGACATACATATATTCCAATCTTTTTTTTAGGCGTAAAATTCACCACCCTGCTACTCCTAACTCCATCCCCTTCATCTGTCTACTCTCTTTGTATTTGCACAAATATGTTTGTTTTCTCATTCTTTTTCCTTTTTTCCTCTTTTTTCTCTTACATTCCCTGGCTCTCCGGTGGGCGGAATCGATTAGCATTTTATCGTTATTTATGCAATACGCAACGAAACGGTCAACTCGGAAACGGTAAAAAATTGAAGTAAGGACATAAAAACCTTGATATAGAATGTTACGGCTGACGAAACAAGAGCACGAAAGGGAACGTGGAAAAGTAGGCCTATTGGTCATTTGCATACTTAATGATGCCCTGAGGACGAAGGATTCGTCGTAACGGCATCCGCCGCTTCTTTCTTGTTGGGATGGGGCAACGCTCCACTAATGAGTAACTTTCACTTTTTTTTTTAATTTCACATGGACAGTTAGGGGGAAAGGGAAGTAGAAAAGCTGTCAAAATCACGCTTCGACTCTCGAAATGCGTAGCAAAACGATACTCGGACGTGATTGAGAGCGACGCCGATGGCGACGTCCCGTCCATCTACCAAATTATTACGCAATTAAAATTCGACGATAAACTGATGACGTGTTCCTGTCCCTCAAAAATGCTTCTGGCTATGGAATCTTCTACATTGATTATTTATCCCACTTGGTTGTAGTAATAAGGACTATTTATAAAAAAAATTGATAAAATATGCTTATAAATAGCTATTACGTGAAAGAAATATTCAATGTACAAGTACTGTACAAATATATGATCACATGACGTTTATGAAATGCCTCAATAGGCTCGTAATTCCGGAGGGTGTCAAATTCAGAGAGAATTATGCAAATTAAACAGCAATTTCGCGACCAGTGTACAAATATCGAGACGGATCAATAACTTGCAGAGAGCAACAAAACTTGTCGTCAAAAATCTGAATAGCAACAAAAATTGAAATAACGAAAGATCGCCGTCGGGTAAAAAAATTGGCGGTGCGTCAATTTATTGTCCTAATCTACCCGAATATTATGGAAGTATATAGGCTAATATCCCTTAAGCCTTTACTAGAAAAAGGCAACAACGAGAATTTCGAGGTCGATGCGGATCTAACCCCAATCCATTTGTTTAATGAGATGAAAGACGGTCTCTCTGGTCCTGTCCAAAGCGCTTGGTTGAAAGGGAATACAAGAAAAGGTGGGGGGACAAAA